GGGTACCCTCATCCATTGCTGGTGGGAATGCAATCTTGTGCAACTACTTTGGAAATCAGTGTTTCAATTTCTCAGGAAATTCGGGATCAACCTACCCCTGGACCCAGCAATACTACTCTTGGGAATATACCCAAGAGATGCCCTATCATATGACAAAAGCATTTGTACAACTATGTTCATAGCAGTATTATTTGTAATAGCCAGAACCTGGAAACAACCTAGATGCCCTTCAATGGAAGAATGGATGAAGAAAGTGTGGAATATATACACATTGGAGTACTATGCTGCGGTAAAAAACAATGACTTCTCTAATTTTGCATGCAAATGGATGAAAATAGTCCTGAGTGAGGTCACCCAGACCCAAAACAATGAACATGGGATGTACTCACTCATAATTGGTATCTAGCCATAAATAAAGGTCACGGAGTGTATACCTGGTGAACCTAAAGAAGCTAAATAAGAAGGTGAACCCAAGGAAAAACATAAATATCCTCTTGGCTATGGGAAGTAGACAAAATTGCCGGGGAGAAAGTTGGGATCTTGGGGGTGGGGTGGGTTGGGGATAAGGGGGGACGGGGAGAGAAAAGTGAGAAGGGGAGGATTGGGGGAGCTTGGGGAAACAGGATGATTGGGATAAAGGAAGGTTGGATAGGGGAGCAGGGAAGCACATATCTTAGTTAAGGGAGCCACCTCAGGAAGCCTCTCTTAAATGAGGGTGCTTGCCTCTAGCAAGCAGAGCCCACTCAGGAGAGTGCTGCTATCAATAAGTCATGCTTAACTCTATTATTTTATATCTAGAATTACTTCCCAAGCTTTCTCACACTTTATGTGGATCAGTTGTCCTCATGGGCATCATTTGTTGTCTGAGTTTCTGTCCTGCCCGGTTCCCACAATTGTTAAGTCCCAATGAAGTCACACAGAGGTCTACATTAATCATAAATGAATTGGCCCATTAGCTCAGGCTTCTTATTAACTCTTATAACTTATATTAGCCCATTATTCTTGTCTATGCTAGCCACTTGGTTCGGTACCTTATTTGGTGAGGTGGTCACTTCTTGCTTCTTCTGTGGCTGGGTCACAATTACACACTAGGATGTCCTTCTTCCCAATATTCTCCTGTTCTCATTGACCCACCTCTACTTCCTGTCTGGGTGTCCCACCTATACTTCCTGCCTGGCTACTGACCAATCAGTGTTTATTTAAAATATAATTGACAGAATATAGATCATTGTCCCACACCAGAAATTATTTTGCTTTCATTTGCTTTCCTGTTCCTCCAATCCTTTTCTCAAGTCAGTGCTTTTAATGACTCTTATATTAATTCAATATAAGAATAATTTGAACTGTTTTAAATGTGTACGATAAACTATGAGGGCAGTGTTTATGGTCACTGCTGCAAAGGCACAACACCATTCCTAATGCATGGTCTGTTGGAGTTCTTTACAGTCAACGGGAGTTGTTAAAAATAAAATATTGTTTTTAAACATAAAGAAAAGAAAACCAGCCTACAAACCACAATCCCAGAAAACTCAGACAACAATGAGGATCCTAAGAGAGATATACATGGATCTAATCTACATGGGAATTAGAAAAAGACAAGATCTCCTGAGTAAGTTGGGAGTATGGGGACCTTGGGGGAATGCTGAAGGAAAGGGGAGAGGCAGGGAGGAGAGCATAGAAAAATGTAGAGCTCAATAAAAATCAATAAAAAAAATAAAATATTACTCAGCTAAATGAACTGTGTAGTGATGTTTGCTGCTGAATGAACCTTCAAGATTTTAGGCTAAGAAGTCAGACAGAAAATGGCAAATACTGTATAATGTGATTCATAGGAAATGTGCAGAACATTCGTATGCATAGAAAAATTAGAACAATGGCCCTGTTTATTTTCCCGTTGGACCTTCCTTCATTTTTAAAGACTTCGAACACTTCCGGTCTCTGAGCAACAGTCCAGGGCAACACCTAGTTGGAAGAAATAGAAACAAGGAGGGTCCTGTTAATTCTGTTCTAGGCGGGAGAGGTAGGGTGTAGGAACCAGATGTAGTGGGGTTTATTGTTACTGTAGGATTTTATTATAGTGTCAAAATGGCTCAGTTGTTTGAGCTTTCAGCATGGGAATTCAAATACACACAACTAATTCTAGATGCAACTTTTTGCCTCCCTCCCCAGGTCATATTAGTAACTTGGTGTGCTGACAGTGGTTTGAACTTGTATGTCCCTGTCCTTCGTGAAGTACTGGGCTGTATCAGAAGCCTGTGGGCTGGGGTGTAACTGGAGTTGCAGAAATAGCCCAGCATGAATGAGACCTTGGGTTCCATTCCAGAACAGAAAAAAAAAAAAGTCCCCAGATACAAGGTTTCTCCATCTTGTCAGTCCAGCCAGAAGGGCTTCTCTGTTTCCTCTAGGGCTCCCCAATACAACTATATATTAGCACCTTGGGGAGGTCAGGTCATGGGTTTATTTACACATTTTCTCAGTCAGACTTGTTCCAAGAATGAACCTCTTTCCGTGTATTTAAAAAGCAGGAAAAGGAAAGAAGATAGAACTCCTCTAGCCAATTCCATACATCTTTCCTGAAAATACTCCTCCCACTAGTTTGATACAAGGCAAAATATTTTGTTGGGGCTGTGCTGTGTATCGTCATTGGGCGTGTGTGTGTGTGCGCGCGCGCACGTACATGCGTGTATTTGTGTGTGTACATGCATGTGTGCATGTGTGTGTATGTGTGGTGTGCATGTGCGTGTGCTTGTGTGCACGTGTGTGAGTGTGTGTGCACGTGTGGTATGTGTATGGTATGTGTGGTTTGTGTGCGTGTGTCTGTGTGTGGTGTGCATGTGTGTATGTGTGTGTCTCTGTGTGTGTGCGTGTGTGTGTATGTGTGTGTGCACGTGTGTGTGTGTACATGGATGTTTTTGCGTCCCAAGCATTATGTTCAAAATGCAAAGGAGACGTTTTCTGACCCAGGGGACACTACACCACAGAAGACATTTATTGATGTGTAAAGAGTTTTCATTGTCACACTCTAGTTAGCTAATATCAGCTGTTTCTCCCCCATTCTCTGTGGACCCACTGAAAATGCGCAGCATTGTTCTGATGAACCTAACTAGGTTTGTTGTCGCTTAGACTTATTTTTATTTATATGTATCTTTGAGTACATGTATTTATGTGCCCACCCGGACCACAAAAGGGCATTAGCTTTCCTGGACCTGGAGTTACAGGTGACTGTGGGTATCCCGATTTGCATGTGGGAACTAAGCCACTGAGTGTTTTTAAACATTTCCCCTTAGACTGCCAGGATATTATTGCAACCAGTTAGCTGGGCACAGTGGTCTATTCCTCTAATACCACTCAAACAGCTAAGGTGGGAGGACTGGATGTTACAGACGACCCTCTGTTTCAGAGTAAGATTATTTTTTAAAAATATTTCTTTATTTATTATGCATACAATATTCTGTCTGTGTGTATGTCTGCAGGCCAGAAGAGGGCACCAGACCTCATTACAGATGGTTGTGAGCCACCATGTGGTTGCCGGGAATTGAACTCAGGACCTTTGGAAGAGCAGGCAATGCTCTTAACCACTGAGCCATCTCTCCAGCCCCAAGATTCTGTTTTAAAAATAAATAAATTTAAAAATGAGGAGAATGTGTAGTGGTTAAGAGCACTTGCTGTTCTTCTAGAAGAATCGTGTTTAGTTCCCAGCATCACACAGCAGCTCACAACCACCCAGAACTCCAGTTCCAGTGGATCTGACCCCACCGTCTGGTTTTTATGGGCACCAGGTACACATGTGGTCCACAGACATACATGCAGGTAACACAATCATACACTAAAATGTGAGAGATTTCTAAAAGGGGTGGATAAATAGATAAAAATGAAAAGATGTGGAAGAGGAAATGCACCTCCCTGCTTAATGCATTACCTTCAGACAGAACGCTCACCACCTCATCAGAAGCGTGTCCCCCAGCACAAGCCACCTTCTTGGGATTTCCGTGAGGCACGCGGGAGCCCACAGGGGACTGGTGCATGTCCTCGGCAGATGCAGTCATTGCTTCCCACTGCATCACCATTTTGGGAGGATGGGCATCCAGGTTGCATCCTGTCCAGCCATAGAAAGCCAGAGACAGGAGAAGTCCTTGGGCTGGATTCAGTATTCCCTGGGAAGGAGGGCGAAGGACATGTGGAGATCAAGGGAAATGGGACGATCTTTGGTCACCATAGTGATAAGTGCCGTTCTGGTTTGCCCAGTGAACTGGCATTCCTCTGAAACACCCAGACACACAAAATAAAATATCTAATTTAAAAGGAAGCATAGTAAAATATCTAATTTAAAAAGAAGCAAAACAAAACATCTAATTTAAAAAGAAGCAAAATAAAATATCTAATATTTAGAAAAGGCAAAAAAAAAGAGTAATAGTTTGATCCTGTGAGTTAACGTCAAATCCTTCATATTCTAGGCGCGAGTGACTTAGCAGAGATTGTTGTGCTTTTATTAATTCACTCACTCACTCACTCACTCACTCACTCACTCACTCACTCACTCACTTTGCGGTGCTGAAGATCAAACACCCTGTGAATGCAAGCACCAGGCTCCATCTCAGACCTGAGCCTGTTCAATAATGTGATGACTGAATCTAGCTTGCCAGGTGATAGAGGTCACCCAAGAACCTCGTGCTGATTATATGTTTACATGCTGGACTTTGAATGTTTTTTACGTTGATTTCCTTTTTTATGAGAAGAAAAAAAAAGTCTGTATTGACCTACCATGATAAACCACGTGGTCCTGGCTGCATTCTGGATGCGTTTCAGAGAGTCTCCCTGGATATCTGGTTGCATTTCAAGGTAGAACAAAAGACTTTCGTTGATGATATTGGATGACCAACTGATGGAAGGAAAATGTCACTCAGTGAAATTCATCATATCTTTCACCACGGTTTGTGTGTATCGGTTTTTGGTAGCAATTTGACCACTTTAGGAAGAAGGAGTTGAGTTGGCATCAAGACTTTAGTTGAGATACAAATCCTTCTCTTGATCTAACACAGACCTCAAATGATTCTCCTGATGGAAACACTGCACATCACATCAAGGTGTAAAGTTTAACCCTGTATCAAACCAGAAATCATCCTCCATAAGAGAGGTAACCTAAAGATTTCCTTCCTTCCTTCCTTCCTTCCTTCCTTCCTTCCTTCCTTCCTTCCTTCCTTCCTTTTTTCCTTCCTTCCTTCTTTACTCTTTCATTCTTGCTCCTTCCTTCCTCCTCCCTCTCTCCTTCCTTCCTTCCTTCCTTCCTTCCTTCCTTCCTTCCTTCCTTCCTTCCTTCCTTCCTCCTTCCTACTTTCTTTTTGAGAAGTAACCTAAACTTTTGATGGAAACCAAAATACTATTTTGATATTTTATGAGGAATCTGTGTGTCCCTGAGAGACAGTGCATGTGTGCTTGTGGCGGGGCTGGGGTGCCGTCGGAGGACATCTCTTGAAGTCGGTTCTCTCCCACAACTTTGTAGGATGTAGACATCAAATCGTCAGACCTGAGCGTAAGCATCTTCGCTTACTGAGCCACCTCACCAGTCCTGAGCTGGTTTAAATGAGAACGGCCTCTTGACCCTGCCCCCACCCCCAGTTGGTGGAATTATTTGGGAGGGATTAGGAGGTCTGACCTTGTGGGAGAAGGAGTATCACTTTCAGTGAGTTCTGAAGTCTCAAATGCCCACGGCATTCTCAGTGAGAATCTTTGCTTCTTTTTTGTGAATCGGGTTGTGAACTCTGAGCTTCTGCCCCAGCACCAACCTGCCTGCTGCCACGCTTGCTGCTATGAGAGTGATGAACGCCTATCCTTCTGGAACTGTAAGCCCCAAATAAATCTTTCTTCATATAAATTGCCTCTGACATGATGGTTTATCACACTAGCCGAAAAATACTCAATATCAGTCCTTGTGTGGAATTTTAAAATGTCAGTCTCGGTGGGTCCCTGCGATGTGAAGTAACAAGGGGAAAGAATGACAAGCAGTAGTTAACGTTGGCCTCGCCTGAAAGGCGATTAAAGAAATGTCCTCCTGCCGGGGGAGAGTTGCCTTGTTCTGTATGGTACTGATTCATTACAGCTTGAATCGCAATCTTTTTACATAAGCTTTGTTAGATATTTTCAAAGCATCAACCAGAAACATTTGTGAAATGGGGGGGCACAAAAGGGGATGACTGCCCAGCCTCGACTCTACCCTTCAGTGAGCTGAGTCTTTCCACTGAAGATGTGCCCTGGGCCTTTTCTCTAAAGGTACAGGAATTGTGGGGACAAGAGTAAGACAGATGGGTACACTCATAAAATTAGGCCAGGGCAGAGAAGCACTTGCTGTGCTCGCAGAGGATGTGGGTTCAGTTCCCAGCACTGACAGGGTAGTTCACAAATTCTGTACCTGCAGGGCACAGTGGCACGTGTTTTAACCCCAGTGTTCCAGAGGCAGGTATAACTCTGTGAGCTCCAGGCTAACCCGGAGCAGCTCATGAGACCCTGTCCCTGTCTTAAAAACCAAATAAATAAATAAAAGATAAAAAAATGCTAACTTCAGGGATATCTGGGCATACTCTTCTAGTCTCTATGGGCACCAAACACACACATGGCACATCTGCTTCCACACAAGCAAAATACTTTTATTTACATAAGATAAAAAGCATCATTGCCCCTTTACTTTGGTCAGCCCAGCAACGAGACAAAATGCCAGGTGCATACAGCTTAAATATTTGAAAATTGAACCCATAGCTGGGCATGATGGTGTTTTTCTGCAACCCCGGCACCTGGAAGACAGAGGCAAGCAAACCACTGGGGTCAGCCAGGGATATGTGGGGAGACATTATCTCAAAACAATAAGAAAAGAGAAAGGGAGAAGAAAAACTGGCTGAATCTGTCTTTAAAAAAATAGTTAGCTTCTTATTCTCAGGGTTTGATACATAATTGTCATAAGGTTTTTCTTTTAAAAAAAAAAAACAACAACATGAGTTCTGGACTTGTTGACCCGTGTTTTGTTCATTCCTTCAGGGGATGCATTACATTGTTTCAGAGATTTCCCTTCCAGATGATTTCCTTTGGAACACGTAAGTCACATTTGGAAAAGTAAAATGACAAGTTGGCAGATCCTTCCCACTAGCACAAGCAACAACAAAAATACTAGAAGAAAGGTTACCATGCAATCAACACCAGCATTATTTTGAAAAACCGGCTCTTGATCACGGCTCCCATCAGCCTCTCATTCTCCGTGTAAACACCTTTTCTTCCTTTCAGTAAAGAGGCCACTGTAGGAGTGTAAAGAAATATCAGACAACACTCATGACTTACATTAACTCATAATAGAGAAGAAAATCAAAGCAGATACGAACGCTTACACATAGCCAGAAGAGCATGAGGTAAACCCCATCACTGACAGTTATTACAGTGTTGAACCTGGAGTACTCACAGATACCAAGGCATACAGACATATACACATGTACATGTACACATATATATATGCACATACATACAAACTTCCACTTTGAAATAACTCTGTATATTGTGATACTAGGAATGATACATAGGGATTCATGCATGCTAGGAAAGTGCTCTTCCCCTGAGCTGCTTCAACTTAACTGACTGAGCTCAGGGATTAGCTGCAAATCTATAGGTCCTTCTAGATTCTCCTGGTGCTAACATCATACACAAATGCAGGACTTTTGTCACAACTTGGAAATTAACTTGTTAACTAAACTCTTGATTTTATTAGTAATTCATTCAAGTATGGTGTTTTAAAAGCTTGTTTTGTCCATTCTAAAATAATATACACTTACTATTTTAGAATATTGAAAAAACACCCACATATGTAAAAGAAACATTACTAGAATTCAAATCACACATCAAACCCCACACAATAATAATAGGAGATTTCAACACTCCTCTCTCACCAATGGACAGGTCAACCAGACAGAAACTTAACAGAGAAATAAGAGAACTAACAGATGTAATGAATCAAATGGACTTAACAGACATTTATAGAACATTCCACCCAAACAGGAAAGAATATACCTTCTTTGCAGCACCCCATGGAACCTTCTCAAAAATTGATCACATACTCGGTAACAAAGCAAACATCCATAGATACAAAAAAAATTGGAGTAACCACCTGTGTTTTATCGGATCACCATGGAGTAAAGTTAGAAGTTAACAATAAAACAACCAGAGAGCCTACAAACTCATGGAAACTGAACAGTCAACTACTGAACCACCCTTAGGTCAAGGAAGAAATAAAGAAAGAAATTAAAGTCTTCCTTGAATTTAACAAAAATGAAGACACAACATTCCCAAACCTATGGGACACTGAAAGCAGTCCTGAGAGGAAAGTTCACAGCACTAAGTGCCCATTTAAAGAAAACAGAGAAAACTCACATTGGAGACTTAACAGCACACCTGAAAGCTCTAGAAAAAAAAAAAAGAAGCAGACTCACCCAGGATGAATAGAAGACTGGAAATAATCAAACTGATGACTGAAATTGACAAAATAGAAACACAGAAAACAATCCAAAGAATCAACGAAAATAAGAGCTAGTTCTTTGAGAAAATCAACAACTTTGACAAACCTCTATCCAAACTAATCAAAAGGCAGAGAGAGAACATTCAAATTAACAATATCAGAAATGAAAAGGGGGACATAACAATATTCACTGAGGAAATTCAGATTGCCATTAGGTCTCACTACAAATCCTGTACTCCACAAAATTGGAAAATGTAAAAGAAATGGACATTTTTAAAGATAAATACCATATACCAAATTAAATCAAGACCAGGTGAACAATTTAAATAGACCTATAAATCACAAGGAAATAGAAGTTGTCATCAAAAACCTCCCAACCAAAAAAAAAAAATTCCAGGGCCAGATGGTTTTAGTGCAGAATTCTACCAGAACTTCCAAGAAGAGCTAATACCTATACTCCTTAATGTGTTCCACATAATAGAAACAAAAGAGTCATTGCCAAGCCCTTTTTATGAATCTACAGTTACCCTAACACCAAAACCATACAAAGACTCAACACAGAGAGAGAATTACAGACTAGTCTCACTCATGAACATCGATGCAAAAATTCTCAATAAAATACTGGCAAACTGAATCCAAGAACACATCAAAAACCCATCCATTATGATCAAGTAGGCTTCATCCCAGAGAGGAAGGGCTGGTTCAACATATGAAAATCTATCAATGTAATCTATCATATAAATAAGCTGAAAGAAAAAACATATGATCATTTGATTAGATGCTGAAAAAGCATTTGACAAAATTCAACACTCCTTTATGATAAAGGTCTTGGAGAGATTAGGGATACAAGGATTATATCTAAATACAATAAAAGCAATATACAGCAAGCCAACGGGTAACATCAAATTAAATGGAGAGAAACTCAAAGCCATTCCACTAAAATCAGGAACAAGACAAGGCTGTCCACTCTCTCCATATCTCTTCAACATAGTGCTTGAAGTTCTAGCAATAGCAATAAGACAACATAAGGAGATCAAGGGGATTCTAATTGGAAAGGAAGAAGTCAAAATTTGTTATTTGCAGATGATATGATAGTGTACATTAGTGACCCCCAAAACTCTACCAGAGAATTCCTACAGCTGATGAATATCTTCAGTGATGTGGCAGGATACAAGATCAACTCAAAAAAATCAGTAGCCCCCCTATACACAAAGGATAAAGAATCTGAGAGTAAAATCAGAGAAATATTACCTTTCACTATAGCCACAAATACATAAAGTATCTTGGGGCAACACTAACCAAGGAAGTGAAAGATCTATTTGACAAGAACTTTAAGTCTTTGAATAAAGAAATTGAAGAGATACCAGAAAATGGAAAGATCTCCCATGCTCTTGGATTGGTAGGATCAACGTAATAAAAATAGCAATTCTACCAAAGGTAATCTATAGATTCAATGCAATCTCCATCAAAATCACAACAAAATTCTACACAGACCTTGATAGAAAAATCAACTTTATATGGAAAAAAAACCAGGATAACCAAAACAATCCTATACAATAATGGAACTTCTGGAGGCATTTCCATCCCTGACATTAAACTCTATTACAGAGCTGCAGTAATGAAACAGCTCGGTATTGGCATAAAAACAGGTATGTTGACCAATGGAATCGAATAGAAGACCCGGATATATGTCCACAAACCTATGAACACCCGATTTTTGATAAAGGAGCTAAAAGTATTCAATGGAAGAAAGAAAGCATCTTCAACAAATGGTGCTAGCACAACTGGATGTCAACCTGTAGAAGAATGAAAATAGATCCATATCTATCACCATGCACAAAACTCAAGTCCAAATAGATTAAAGACCTCAATATAAATCTGACACCCTGAACCTGACAGAAGAGAAAGTAGGAAGTAGCCTGCAATACATGGGCACAGGAGACAACTTCCTACGTATAAACCCAGTAGCATAGACAATAAGAGCAAAAATGAATAAATGGGACCTCCTGAAACTGAGAAGCTTCTTTAAAGCAAAGGACACTGTCATTAAGACAAAAAAACAACCTACTGACTGGGAGAAGATCTTCACCAACCCCACATCAGACAAAGGACTGATCTCCAAAATATATAAAGAACTCAAGAAACTAGACATTAACATTCTAAATAACCCAATTAAAAACTGAACCGAACAGAGAAACCTCAACAGTAGAATTTCAAATGACCAAAAGATACTTAAGAACATGTTCAACCTCCTTAGCCTATCAGGGAAATGCAAATAAAAACAATTCTGAGATACTATCTTATACCTGTCAGAATGGCTAAATTCAAAAACACCAGTGATAGCCTATGCTGGAGAGGATGTGGAGAAAGGGGAACACTCATCCATTTCTTGTGGGAATGCAAACTTGTGCAACCACTTTGGAAATCAGTATGGTGGTTTCTCAGGAAATTGGGAATCAACCTACCTCAGGATCCAGCAATACCACTCTTGGGAATATACCCAAGAGATGCCCAATCATACTACAAAAGCATTTGCTCAACTATGTTCATTGCAGCATTATTTGTAATAGCTAGAACCTGGAAACAACTTAGATGCCTTTCAATGTAAGAATTGATAAAGAAAGTGTGGCACATATACACATTAGAGTACTACTCAGTGGTAAAAAAAAAAACCCAATGACATCTTGAATTTTGCATGCAAATGGGTGGACGAAGAAAACACTATCCTGATTGAGATAACCCAGACCCAAAAATATGAATATGGTTTGAACTCACTCATTAGTGGATTCTAGTCATAATCAAGGGCATTGAGCCTATATTTCACGATCCTAGAGAAGCTAAGTAATAAGGTGAACTGAACGAAAAACATATATAGATCCTCCTGGAAATTGGAAGCAGACAAAAGTTGTGAGCATGGAGGTGGGGTGGGGTGGGGGAAGGGGAGAAGAGGAGAGAGATGGGAGAATGGAAGGATTGGGAAGAGCTTGGGGGAATGGGATGGTTGAGATGGAGGAAGGACGGATATGGGAGCAGGGAAGGAGTTATCTTAATTGAGGGAGGCATTTTAGGGTTGACAAGAGACTTGGCTGTGGAGGGGTTCCCAGGAGACCACGGGGATGACACCAGCTAGGACCCTGGTTAGTGGAGGAGGGGGTGCCTGAACTGGCCTTGTCCTTTAGTTAGACTGATGACTATCTTGAATATCATCATAGAACCTTCACCCAGCAACAGATGGAGATAGAGACAGAGACCCACATTGGAGCACTGGACTGAGCTCCCAAGGTCTAGTTGAAGAGCAGAAGGAGGGAGAATATGAGCAAGGAAGTCAGAACCACAAGGGGTTGGTCCACCCACTGAGGCAGTGTGCCTGTTCTAATATTAGGGAGCTCACCAAAACCAGCTGGACTGGGGCTGAACGAGCATGGGATCAAACTGGACCCTCTGAATGTGGCTCACAATTGGGGCAGACTGAGAAGCCAATGATAATGGCACTGGGATTTGTATCTACTGCATGTACTGGCTTTTTGAGATCCTATTTTATTTGGATACATACCTTCCTAGACCTGGATGTAGGAGGGAGGGCCTTGGACTTCCCACAGGGCAGGGTACCCTTCCCTCTCTTAGGACTGGAGAGGGAGGGGCAGCAGTATGGGGGAGTGGAAGGGAAACGGAGGAGGGGAGGAAGTGGAAATTTTGATTGGTATTATTTATAAAGTAATAAATAAAAGAAAAAAAAGAATATTGAAAAAGTTAAAAATTCTCCTTAGAGACAAGATAAAATATATAAGTAGAGAATAATGACCCATGGTTCTATTGCACAGATATAACCACTGGAACAGTATAGTGTTTGGCCAAGACATTTCCACTGCTTTGACAAAAAACACTTCTTGTGTGAAATTTTTAAAACAAAATTCCTATATTTAAAAGCAGATAAGAAAAAATTTATCTAAATACAANTTTATTGAGCTCCACATTTTTCTCTGCTCCCCTCCCTGCCTCTCCCCTCCCCCTTCAACCCTCCATGGTCTCCATGCTCCCAATTTACTCGGGAGACCTTGTCTTTTTCTACTTCCCATGTAGATTAGATCCATGTATGTCTCTCTTAGGGTCCTCATTGTTGTGTAGGTTCTCTGGGATTGTGATTTGTGGACTGGTTTTCTTTGTTTTATGTTTAAAAACCACATATGAGTGAGTACATGTGATAATTGTCTTTCTGTGTCCAGAATAATAATAGACTTTTAATTTTTTTTTATTCTAAAAGCAAGGGCCAGAGAGATGCTTCTATGATTAAAAACACTTTCTGTTCTTGCAGAAGACTAGAGTTTGGTTCCAAGTAGCCACATGAGAGCTCACACCCATCAGAGAACCTAATGCCCTCTTTTGGTCTTGATATGCATGTGATGCACATAAACTCAGGTAGGCACACATACATAAATATAGTAAATAGATAAATATTCTTCAGTTCAACCAACAGTTGAGACTACAGCATAAAAAGTAAAATATTTAATGTACTATATTTAAAAGCAGATAGGAAAAGATGCATCAAACATGTCAACAGTTTATCACTAGTGATAGGGACTTTAAACACTCTTTAGAAGTTTCTCTCAACAACTCCTGACTCTTAAATGACCTTTCTGTGAAGGCCAATGTGCAAATACCTTAACTCACATTCTACCCAAGAGAGGCACAGAAACATGGATACCAATGGACACTCGCTCCAAGCCATGGTCACTTGAGGAGGTGGAAGGGGTGAGACGCAGGCCCCTAGTCCTAGCTGTAAGAGATGTACCCCTTTGCCTACTCACTATCTTCCCCTCATTCAGTTTTTACCATTGCAATGGACTTGTTTCCTGTGTTCCACTGCTGTTTCCTGTCCTTGTGGAAAAATGCATAGGTCAAGTGACTGCCTAGGGATGACCAGACTCTGAATCCAAACCTCATCCCTTCTCTTATCTGTCTCTTCCTCTACCTAAGTGGCCTCTACAGTTTTACAAAATCATCTTCAGGCCCTCCAGACTAAAGGCAGACTCTGGAGGAGCCCAGCACAGAAGTGAAGCCTCAACCAAAACCGATGATCTTTAGCTGAGCAAATACCAGCAAAAAAAACCCTGTGTAGGCCGGGCGATGGTGGCGCACGCCTTTAATCCCAGCACTTGGGACGCAGAGGCAGGCGGATCTCTGTGAGTTCGAGACCAGCCTGGTCTACAGAGCTAGTTCCAGGACAGGCTCCAAAGCCGCAGAGAAACCCTGTCTCGAAAAACCAAAAAAAAAAAAAAAAAAAAAAAAAAACCAAAAAAAAAACCCTGTGTAGGTAAAGTAGACTTTCACATTTTCACTTATTAAACATGATCGTTTTGTCCAACTATTCCATTCATGTCTTGAAAAAATGATAAGTTTAGTTGTTGTGTGTCATTGCAGAAGGAACAGCTGTTTTTTTTTTCTGTGAGTTCCAAGGCATGCAAATGTACTCAGTGTTCATATAACAAGAGTAACCCCGCCCCCTGCAAGATTTACCTGCAGTCACTGTCTTGTGAAACAGGATGGGGTTGGCCACAAGGACAAGCAGTAGTGGCAAGTATGTGGTGACATAATGGGGGATGGCATGGTCCAGGCCCCTCTCACACCTGAAAAGAGGAATACCAAAACATTCTCCTTTAAAGAAAAGCTTTAGCTGAGATGACCCACTTCCCCGGAAACTGAGATAAGAGGTCATGTTCCTGTCTCATATATGGGAGGAGTGATAGAGCATTTCACTGGGGGAACCTTTTAAAGGCCTTCTGGGAAAGTATAGGATGGAAAAAGTCTTCCGGAGTGGTGGATTCTCTGCTTTGAGTTTCTTCAAGAAAACACACACACACACACACACACACACACACACACACACACAGAGTCCAAGTAGAAGGGGAGACAAAGACACCCATTTTAATACTGGACTTTAAGTACTTGCTATGTGGCCTTGCCTAGTAACTTGAATACGATCCACTTCCTCTCCTTGAGCAACTCAGAAGGTAGAAGTTTAAGATGTGAAAAAAGCTGGGTGTGGTGGTGCTCGCCTTTAATCCCAGCACTCGGAAGAGGAAAGCAGTGGAGTCTCTGTGTTTGAGGCCATTTTGGTCTACACAGTGAGTTCCAGGGCAGCCAGAGCTATAGAATAGAGAGACCCTGCCTCCAAAAAAGATTTAAAATGAAATGTCGTTACCATGAATAACGAAGTCTCAGCAGTTGTTTTTAGGGCAACTAACGAGGATTTCTACAGATTAATCATGAAAATCATTGGTCACCTTAGGATGCAGTGAAAGGTCATGTACGCACGTGGCAAATATAGGATCTGGAACTGAGGAATGGCTCAAAGGTTGACGGCACTTGCTGTTCTTGCCAAGGACCTGGGTTCAGTCCCAGCACCCACACACCATAATCATCAGAGTTCCTGTGCCCTCTTCAGACCTCCTCCAGCACCAGGCACACACATGATGCACATACATACATGCAGGCAAAACACTGGTATAAATAAATTATTTTTTAATTAAAAAAGTTAAGAACTATCAACTAAAACACATATGATTTAGGAGGAGAAAAATGGCTGTGAATTAATAAACAAAGGCCAAGCAGGCCATGGAAGAGTTCAGGTACAAAGAGGCCAACGAGCCACTATGATGACTCTTTCTAACAGAAATAATGTTCTTCTTCAGTTATGAAGGATCAGTGTGGTCTGGAAAAATTCCAGGGACATGAGAAGGCAGAGAAGAGTAATTCTGACAGAAAGGCAGAGAGAAAATGACAGAGCTCCCTGAGAAGATCCCTGGTTGGCAGGTTGCAATTGTTGAAATGAGAGTGAGGATATATGTAAAGAACACCCAGGGTTCCAGAAAATGGGTAGCACAGGACTAAGAGATAATCACACATCGAGACTTTAAATCCAAGCTCAATTAAAGGCATTTGAGCACCCGGGGCCTCCTTGCGAGCCCCGAATCAATGGAAGTCTTGGACTCAATTTTTTTTTTTGGGGTATTTCCAGGTCCCAGAGGGGAGGACACAAGAAAAGAAAGGGAAAAAGAAGGAGCTTTCCAGTTAAGCGTGCTCTACTGTGATAGCGGTAACACTGTTGTCTGTTCTTTATAAGCTTTCCAGAAAGCAAAATATAGAGCATGCCTGCACAGAGCTCCCTGAGAAGATCCCTGGTTGGCAGGTTGCAATTGTTGAAATGAGGAATGTCCCCAACAGGCTCGGGTATTTAAGAGGCCTTCAGTTCACTGTCTTTGTTCTGTGTTTGTGGTCGAAGAGTGATCTCTCAGCTTCCTGATCATGCAATCATGGCTACCGCTTGCTGCCATGCCTCTCTGTCACAATGGACTTTTCATCTCCCTGGAAGTGTAAGCCCAAATAAACTCTCTCTTCCTTAAGTTACCTTGAGTCATGGTATTTATTCACAGCCACAGAAAAGTGATTCCTAGACAAGGCAATACCAAAGTGGAGACAGACATCTAACAAAAAAAACCGAGAGTTGTCAAAAACGTTCTACACTATGGGTCAGCAAACTTCTCCCATACAGAAGCAGATGGTTCGTATATTTCAGCTTCGTGGTCTCTGTGGTAGCTCTGAATCCTATGTCTGTCAAGCAAAGGTGGCAGCGGTCCACACACAAACAAGTGTGTGTTCCGATAAAACTTTATTAACAAACACAGGCAAAGGGTAGGATTGACCAGGAGGGCTGTGCTGTGCTGAGCCTCGGTAGACACATTCCTAAAATCACAGAGATACTGTCTACCTCTCTGTTTTCTGCTTAAATTTACAGTGGTCATCCCCAGGCCCTGAGGTTTTATAAATATCTCTGTTCACAGGGAGGGGTGGATCTCAATGCCTTAAGCGTGTTGGAAAATTCTCTACCACTGAGTTACCATCCCTCATTCTATTCCAGTGGGATTCCTCTATCCAGCTTTTCATTCCATGTTAGAGACATGCAATAGACCAGGGATCTGAGCACTACATTACGGGGTGACCGGGCTTACCTGGACACGGACGGGTAGTAGAGCATGACTGCCCCCTCCACGCAGAGCAGCACAGCCAGGCCCCAGGTCATAATGTGGTAGAGCATCATGGTGCTAGGAGAGAACAGAAGAGAGGTCACCACAGATTAGACAGTCACATGCCTGCCCAACGGAAAGGACCAGATCGACTTCTGTGCCATGAAGGGTTTCCTGCCAAGAGTTTCTCGTGCTGCCGGTGAGGAGGTTGTGGGTTTACATTGTTGTATTTTCAGATGTGAAATTCACATCACATAAAATTTGTTATTTGAAAGTGAGAAGTTCAGAGATGCTTTGCACATGTGCAGTGTTGTTCAGCCATCACTACTAACTAATTCCAGGACATTTTGATCAGCACAAAAGAAGAATTTGTTCCCGTTAGTAGTCACTACCATCCTTGCTGGCCCTGAGAGCCACTTATACGCCTTATTCTGTGGAGTTGTCTGTTCTGGATATTCACACAGACAATAATAAACTGAATGGCTTTGCATATAGTATTTTTCACTTAGCAAGTTTTTCATGGTTGTGTAATAAACCATCATATGGACAAGCCCCATTATGCTCCTTCAAACACCCACCAATAGAAATTTAGATTGTTTCTATCATTTGGCTACTATGAGTAGTAGTGTTGTAAACATGTATATACAGTTATCTGAGCTACTATTTTCAATTCTTTGGGGTGTGTGTGTGTGGTATGTGTGTGGTATGCATGTGTGTATTGTGCATGTGTGGTGTGCGTGTGTGGTTTGTGTGTGTGTATATGAGTGTGTGTGTAGTATGTGTGTGTATGTTGTATGTGTGTGTGGTGCGTGTGTGTGTGGTGTGCATGTGTGTGTATATGTATGGTGTGCACGTGTGTGTTATGTGTGTGTGTGCGTGGTGTGTGTATGGTGTGCGTGTGTGGTGTGCATGTGCATGGTGTGTGTGCATGTGGTGTGTGTGTGTGTGTGTGTGAAATTGTTGGGTTAAATGGTATGTCCATGTTAAGCCAGTGTACATCTTCATAGACAGTAGTCAGTTGCTCTATGACTAAGCTGTACCCCAACCCCTTCATATTTAAATTTTGAATGAACCAAATTCTCTTTGTCTCTAACAACAGTGAACACCACTTTTTCTTCTTTTCTTGGTTTTGGGGTGTGTGTTTAAAAACAAACTAAGTGGGAGTTCACCTTGTTGTCCAGAGTGGCTTTGAACTCCTGAGCTCAAGTACTTGTCCTGTTTGAACCTACAAAGTAGCTGCAACTACAGATACACACCATTACATAATTCCAGTTCTGATGACAACCATCCTAATGGGGGGGGGGTGGCTGCTACTTCTGACACTCAATCTTTTTTTTTTGACACACAAAGTTGTTTAATTGAGACTCAATCTTAATTAAAAAAAAGAGAAAAAATCACATATGTAGATATCCTGAGAAAGCAGTGTTCAGTTCTCGTCTGTTGTGATTTGAATGTCATCAGGAAATTCTAATGGGGAAGTGACAAAAAGTGGAGCCTTCTGAAAAGTGATCAATTTCAAAGTGTGATTAGTTGGCCCCGTTGCTCTGACCCTGTGGTAATCCATTATGGTGATCATATATGGCACAGTGAAATCACTTGCAACTTTCAGTGGCCAAACGTTTATGGAGCAAAAGTTGTAGACACAGAAAATACCAAGAACAACACAAGTCACTTTTCTGAATTTCACAATTTCAAGTGGTTGTCATATCAAATCCTCATAAGAATCATGCAAGTAATTGTACCCCCTAAGCACTAAATAGGGAAATAGGAACAGAGGCTGGGAAATCGAGTTCAGAACTGTGATCATCCAAAGTAGAAGGCTAAGTGTATAAGTTAAGTAGCTAAACGGTGTGGTAGCCAGAACAAGGTCCCAATGATGTCCATGTCCTGATTTCTAGAACCTGGAATACAATATGACAGGAAAGTCCACAGATGTGATTAAGGATTGTTGAGGTGAGCTCATCTTAGATTAACAGGGTGGCCCAATATAATCATAGGACGTCATAAAAATACAGGAATTTTGGGCTAGAATACACATAGCTATACCCCTGTCTCAAAAACTGATGGGTAGATAGATGATAGATAGATAGATAGATAGATAGATAGATAGATAGATAGATAGATAGATGATAGAAAGAGATGATAGATTGATAAATGATAGATGATAGATAGAGGATAGGTAGATGATAGATTAGATAAATAGATGATAGATAGATAGATAGATAGATAGATAGATAGATAGATAGATAGATAGATGATAGATCAGTCAAGCAGTGATGGCACAAACCTTTAATCTCAGCACTCAGGAGGCAGAGGCCAACAGAGCTCTGTGAGTTTGAGACCAGCCTGGTTTACAGAGTAAGGTGAGCTCCATAATAACCAGGGATACACAGAAAAACTCTGGAAATAAATTCAAAATGCAATAAGGTAAGTGTTAAGGTTTAAAACACTAAAATCTAGAAAAAAAGGCTCTGTTTTAAACAGAGTGTGGGAAGCTAGAGAGATGCTTCAGTTCAGAGCACTATACCGCTCTCACGGAGGACCTGAGTACAGTTCCCAGTAGCCCTGTCAGGCAGCTTCACAAATGTCTGTAACTCTAGCTCTTGGGGATCCAGGTAAATACCCTCTTCTAGCTTCTTCAGGTACCTGCTCATAAGCCCACACACAGACACACAAATATACACATAATTAAAAATAACTAATAAATAAAAAGGGGATGGATATCTTGGGTGGAAATCAGACAAAGAGTGTAATCTGAAGGCTCAAAAGAGACTCCGTGTCTCAGGACCTGGTGGGTATTAGACATCTCAAATTCTGCTGGCAAAACTGAGGGTTTTCTTTTCTTCCTCCCTCCTCTGCACTCCCCATTCCCTGCATAGCTCACATTCCAGCCATAACCCTCCTTTATCTTTTGCATGTACCCACCCAGTCCACCCTTCTCATCTATACTGCCGGTAACTCCAGTAACTCCATAGAGCCACGTGGAGCCAGCTCATCCCCCATGGAACAGTGGAGAGCATTCAAACAGATGCTTCTTTGTGATCGGGTGGGCAGGCTGGGCTCCAGCAGTCACAGACACTAGCTGTCATGTGAGATTCAGCAAGATACCTAGCAAATGGCAGCCATGTCCAGTGGGGATTCTGACTTTGAAGAGCAGCTGTATGAGCAGAAGTCATGCTCATGGATCAGAGCAAGAAACTAAGCAGGAAAAGAAGCAGAGGCTCGCACACAAAGCTTCCAGAGAAAAACCACTTTGTTCCAACTGCTGGGAGAGCACAAGGAAATGACTCCAGCATATTTTGCCTCCCCCATTGTAACCAGTTCCTGGAGTATCCCTCTCAGGCCTCACAGGGGCAGGAAGCTGGGGGCGGGGGCTGTCTGTGATGTGAGCATTGCCAGAGATCTGAGGGGAGCCTGTCTGTGATGTGAACATTGCCAGAGATCTAAGGGGAGCACGTCTGTGATGTGAGCATTACCAGAGATCTAAGTTATACGCAGACTCTGCTACCCTGGAGTGGCCCTCTGCAGGAGCTGTGTTGTTGATGACAGCAGAATATGCAAATTTCACCACACCCTCCCCTCATTTGGGGCCACACCAGGTGTATTGACAGAGCAAGGAGTCCAGTCCAGGAGGCAAGACTAGCCAAATCCAAGGCTGGAGGTCACTGAAACCTGGGCAATGGTTCTTCCTTCTGTGTGCCACAACAGCCACATCTAGGCTACAGGATACAGGAGACGGCTGTGTTAATAACAGACGCCTTCTGAAACCCAACCAGATTATGAACCTGCACCCTCACTCAGTGGCAGTCAGACCATAAGTGAACACCTGTGTACCTTTATCTGAATGCTTCATGGTTCCCAACTGTAATGGTTTGTCCTATCCCTGTAAGAGACAAGCCCCACCCACTCAATGCCTGTCTGTCCTTCCTTCCTGTTGGCCCCAGCCTCTTCTTTTCCAGCTCTCTCCCTTCTCCCCATTTCTCCCCCTTCCCCTCCCTCTCTCTGTCTCTTTTTGTCTCGGTGTTCCTGTCTTTTTCCCTCTCCCCTCTGTGTGTGTGTGTGTGTTCCCGTCTTTCCTTCTCTCCCCATTCTGTCTCCCTCTCCCCTCTGTGTGTGTGTGTGTTCCCCTGTCTTTCTCCCTCTCATTTCATCTCCTCTCCTTCTCTCTCTCTCTCTCTCTCTCTCTCTCTCTCTCTCTCTCTCTCTCTCTCTCTCTCTCTCTGTCTTTCTCCTCTCTCTGTATATATGTTCTCCTCTCTTTCTCCCTCTCCTCTCTCTGTCTCCCTCTCCCTCCCCCCTCTGTGTCCCCCTGTCTTTCTCTCCCCTCTCTCTCTGTTCCCCTTTCTCCCTCTCCTCTCTCTCTCCCTCCCTCTCTGTGTTCCCCATCTTTCTCCCTCTCCTCTCCCTCCTTCTCTCCCTCTCTGTGTGTGTGTTCCCCTCTTTCTCCCTCTCCTGTCTGATGGAGGAGGGTCATCTTTCTTATCTGTTGCTTTCATTGGTTAATTAATAAAGAAACTGCTTGGCCTTTGATAGGCCAGCCGTTAGGTGGGTGGAGTAGACAGAACAGAATTCTGGGAGAAAGAAGCCGAGTCAGGCAGTCACCATGATTCTCCCACTCCAGACAGACACAGGTTAAGATCTTTCCTGGTAAGCCAGCTCGTGGTGCTACACAGAATATTAGAAATGGGTTAGATCAATATGTAAGAGCTAGCCAATAAGAGGTTAAAACTAATGGGCCAAGCAGTGTTTAAAAGAATACAGTTTCCAAACTGGGCAGTGGTGGCGCATGCCTTTAATCCCAGCACTCGGGAGGCAGAGGCAGGCGGATCTCTGTGAGTTCGAGACCAGGGTCTACAAGAGCTAGTTCCAGGACAGGCTCCAGAGCTACAGAGAAACCCTGTCTCGAAAAACTAGAAAAAAAAGAATACAGTTTCCGTGTAATTATTTCAGGGCATAAGCTAGCCATGTGGGCAGTCGGGTGCCAGGGACGCAGCCCGCCGCTCCTCCACACAACACCTGTCTCTCTCCCTCTCTCTCTCTGTGTTCCCCTATCTTGCTCCCTCTTCTCTCTCTCTCTCTCTCTCTCTCTCTCTCTCTCTCTCTCTTCCACTGTCTTGCTCCCTCTCTGCCTCTCTGCTCTTCTCCCTTCTCCCCTTCTCCCCTCCATAACCCACTAAATAAATATCCAACCTCACTCTGCATGGCTGTCTCTGCTTCTCACCCTGTGCCCAGGACCAGCCACCTTTGTGGCCTGCCAGAGATCTTATGGCTTCTGATGTCCACACTTTTTGCAACAGGGTCCCATTATTCAGCCTGAGTTAACCTCCAACTCCAGATCTTCCCATCCCTGTCTCTGGGGTGCTTGAGATGACTCTGAGGAGAACCATACTGTCATTTTCTTACGATGTATCATACGTTTAGTTCAAGGTCTTTTTCAAGATGTCAAGCCCTGTGTAATATTGTTTTGAAACCTCAGTATTCTTCACTAGAGCAGGAGCTACAGTGAAAGCTAAAATTTAAACTTCAAGTCTATCTTAATATTTCTGGGCATGGGAATTAAAGGGGGAAAGGACTCTGCTCTGCCAAAGAAAGCGGATGAGTGCTTACCAGATCCCAAAGGACATGTGACATTTACCAACCTTGTTTGCCAAGTTGGGCCCCTGCCCTGGAATTTAATACCAGCCTCAGTCTCTCTAGGGTGAGACTTGGTCTCCACGGAAACTGAGCATTTTGTGACTTCTGCTGTATGCCTGGCGTCTCTAGGATGGGGAGCTCCCTCTGTTTCACACAGGCACATAACTTTTTTTCTTCAAAGTCTTACTATTTTTTGTATTTATCTATTTTGTTTTGCTTTCACATCCCAACCCTTTCCCCTGCTTCTTCTCCTTCCAGTCCCTCCTCTCACCTCTTCAGGTTCCCTTCAGAAAAAGGGCGACCTCCCATGGATATCAGCCAGTTATACTGAGACTAGGCACTAGGCACCTCCTCTCCTATTGAGACTGAATGAGGCAACCCAGCAGGAGAAAAAGGCCAGGGAAGCAGGCACCAGAGTCAGAGGCAGTCCCTGCTGCCACTGTTAGGAGTCCTGCGAAAAGACAAGCTATGCAACTGTCACATATGTGCAGAGGGACAGGCACATATCTCCATGCTTGAGACTTGCCCAAACCCCTGCCTTTAAAAAGCTTTTGGCGCTTCACAGCCCATGTATTAATTTTCCATGTGATCGCACATCCTCAGAAGCCATGCACTTCCCAAAACCTTCTAGATGCTGGCATTACCATCATCCTGCCTGCTAAAATGAATGTTGACCTTAGAATTAATACTGAAGCCCCTGAGGAGCAGGGGACAGGGTGGGAGCCCGGATGATAAACAGAGCATAAAAGCAGCGCAGGATGACAGAGTGAGAGGCCCTTACACAGTGCTCACTTCCAAATGCCTGATTCCCCCACCACTTTTAGGTTTCTGGATTTTGATGTGGCCACTGGAATTGAACCCAGGGTTTTGAACACATACGCTTTTCACTTGAACTTACCAACAGCCTCTAACTCTTTAATTTCCAAAGTTACTTGTTTGCAAGTTTGGAAGAATCTTGATGTTTTGAATTTACCAGTGGTATCTTATAGAAATGGGCTGTCAGCTGGGAATAGTGGCAAATCCTTTTCATCTGAGCACTTAGAAAACGGAGGCAGGAGGATCCTAGGTTCAGGGGCAGCCTGAATTGCATAGTGGAACCAGGTGTCTGAAAGAAATGTCACTATAAAAATGAGCAAGCATAAATATTTCTGGATAGAAATCCAATTGGCAGGTGATATATGGCGTGAACCGCACCACCAAGAACCTTTGAATGCCCAACAGCATGTCCAACTTTCCCCCACAGAAACAGGAAAGACATCCCTGTCCGTGTTCCCAGTCATAAATACCTCAGTCCCGCCGATCTCCTGATCACCAGGTACACATCGACTGCATAGCAGAAGAGCCACCAGAGGCAGGCGCCGTACAACAGCTGGACCCACATCTGTAACCAAGAGGATTAACAATTCTAGCAGCATGCATGAGGCCTGCAACTCACACCTGCAATGACGGGCAGTCACGGCTCTGTCTGACGGCACTGGTGAGCCATCCCATGTGGACACATTCTCTGAAGCGCACTATGGCTGTGGCCCGGTGGTGTCTGTGTATGCATGTGTCCTCTGTCAGTATAGTTAGATTTGACACAGGAACTCTGTGTATACTCTGTCTATAGAGTTAGATTTGACATGTAGATTCATCCTCTGTCTATGTAGTTAAATTTGACATGGGAACTCTGTGTATCCTCTGTCTATAGAGTTAGATTTGACATGTATGTGTGTCCTTTGTCAATAGAGTTAGATTTGACACGGGAACTCTGTCTCTGGTGTGCTTAAGACAAGGCACATGTTCACTGAGACAGAGGCATTGTTGGAATGCAGCTAAGGAATCATAGAGAGTAGAAATGGAAGTAAGCTGGAAATTCTACCGAGGAACTGAGACTTCCACATGGCATTCTTACCTTCTCCACATCATTCCTGTGAAGGGGATGGCAGTGCCAGAAGCTTAGTGTGTTTCTCTGTGTGTAATCTATGTGTTTACTGCATGTTTTACTTATACAAAAGATTTCATGTGGAATATTTCATGTATATTTAAATATATTTCCTTTAGAAAACCACATTCAATCTTTCTGTCTTTCTCTATAGCTGACTTTGATTGGGGCTGTGTACACATTATGGAAAAAGTGTGTGTGTGTGCACGCGCGCGTGCATGCATGCCCGCATGTGTGTGTGTGTGTGTGTGTGTGTGTGTGTATAAGGTGAAGGCTGAAACACTAGATGGTTCATTCTCAGACTTGTGTATTTATCTACACCCCAAGTAGATTTGACCTCACACTGACTCCTGGTCCTCAGGTCCAGGGTGTGACCTGAGAGTTGCATTCACCACAATTCCCAGTGTTTGTTCTGCTGACTTTGAAAACTGTCATACAGCAGGAGGAGGGTGAGCAGAGGGAGGCATGTGCGTGTGTGTGTGTGCGTGTGTGTGTGTGTGTGTTCACATGCACGTGTGTGTGTGTGAAGACCATCATGCAGCAGGAGCAGAAGGAGGAGGGTGAACAAAGGGAGGTGACTTACTGCGCTCCCCACACAGAAAGCAGCAGGCCACATGTCAGTTCCATTCACACCGGAGATGTTTTCAATGAAATCTGGGTAGGCTACCCATACCGTGGACCTGATAACAATTCCTGGATGAGAATTAGAAAGTGAAAGCTTTATTGATTTTAATTCAAAACTGCAACAAGCTGGTTGTTTTAGAGGGGGTATAAAAAAAGGAACAAAGAAAGGAAAGAGAGAAAGATGAAAGAGAAAAGCATATTGGTGTGCAACAATAACAAGGAAACTGAAGGCTGAGCAACCGAGATCATTGTTATTGTGAGAGTTGTCCCAGGCACTTCAGCGTCTGTTCACGTTATAAGCAGGAACAACATTGTTCCTGTTTTGTTTGGTGATTGGGAATCACTGTGATTTTCACTTGTACTTTTAATATCCTTGTTACTCATCATATAAGGACCTGGGAAAATGCATGTGTACCATGTAACACACTACTCCACACATGCACTGAAGAATTAGTGTGGTCCCTGAACTCTTAAGCCAAATCTTCTAATTATCAAGCCACCACTAATAAATTAGAACAGCTTTTCTGAAAAGTACTTCAGTCTCATGTCTACAACCTCATCTACCAGATTTTTTTGAAGGATTATGTTCTTTTGCTACTCAACAAGATATCTAGGTACGTCTTTATTTCTAATTATTCGAGCTACAGAACTAAATTACTTATTGATACCTATTCTGAGAACATCCTGAAGGAATCAAGTTATCCTGCACGGAAAACAATTTATCCCTTGTGGAAAGGAAACGGTTTTTCCTGTCGTGCTTTCCAAATGTGAGAAAGTGACTTGGAATTACAGAGTATTCATGGGAACTCAAACTCTTCAGTGTCTATAATCACATGTTTGTAACTCTTGGCAATGGTATAAAACAGGTCTTCATTACACAAATTTTTTTGGTTTTGGTGCTTTCTTTCTATTGGAACCTGACAGACAGAAATTCATCCAGCCTGGGATTTGTTTCCAATTAACCCAACCAGGAGGGAGGAAAAAGGGAAAAGATCTGCAAACCCGGGCAGGATGCATCTGGGGATTCAGGATACTTCTTTATAATTATAGACGACCTGCATGCATATTGGGCAATTCCCACACCAAGCTGATAAAATAAAATGTCTAGTTTGGAGTTCAGTAACGTGCATTATGCTCTAGTTGAGAGAGGACATCGACAAACTCATTTCTGTTAAGGGCCAGGTCGTTAACCATGGTTGTTTTGTGGACCACAGCATCTATTTCCCACCTTCTACTTGGCCCTAGCAGAGCTAAGAGGGTCTCAGATCAGGAACAAATACTGTGTTCATTCCCACGCAGCTTTATATAAATTTATGCAGCCATCACGTGCCTTTATCTTCTCTGGGATATTGAAACATTTTAAAATGTTGTGTCATTCTTTTTAATTTTTTTATTGATATTTATTGAGCTCTACATTTCTGTCTGCTCCTCTCCCTGCCTCTCCCCTCCCCCAAGGTCCCCATGCTCCCATTTTACTCAGGAGATCTTGTCTTTTTCTACTTCCCATGTAGATTAGATCCATGTGAATCTCTCTTAGGTGTCACAAAACATGCACCAGATAGAACTTTGTATACCTGAGGTTCAAAACCAGACTGAGGGGCTGGAGACAGAGCCGCTGGGGGGGGGGGGCGGAGGGGGGAGCTCTGACCCAGCAAGCACAGGATCCTGGTGATTTCAACAAGAGCTCAGAAGATAGAATTTTTAGATGAAAAACAAAGCAACCAACAAATAAGCACATTGGGGAAAAAACATAGGCACGGATGGCGTTGACTGTTTCTCCTCTTTGAATTAACAACCTTGCACGGTCTACCCCGTGAGCTGCGTATTCCATCCCCAAAAGGAGCCGGCTGCACAACCTTGCACATTCTATGAGCTGCGTATTCCATTCCCTAAAGGAGCCCGCTGCACAACTTTGCACATCCTACTCCGTGAGCTGTGTATTCCATCCCTAAAAGGTGCCGGCCGCACGCCCTTACCCAGGCAGCCCAGAAAGTCGCAGGCGATGGCAGCGCGGAGGATGCGCACCGAGGCTGGTGGGGACGTCGCAGGCCCTGTGTGACTCACAGATCTGCGTCCAGGCAGGAGTTGCAGGAGGCCCAGCACCAGGCGGAGAGCGCCACTGCCCAGGCACAGCGCGTGAAACACCCGCGGTTGGAAGCTCAGTACCAGCTGCGTGGCTGTGTCCCTCGTGGGGCAGCAGAAGATGCCCAGGCGTGGGGAGGCCATTGCAAAACTCAAGACGTTTTCAGGCTTTTGCAATTGGTCTTGCTCCTTTCGGCAAAACCCAAGGCTTTTGTAGGTCAGGTGCTCTGGTGGCCAGGGAGGTTGGGCATCATGTGCCTGGGCCTCTTTCCCCACCCCAGCCCCTTAGGCTGCGAAGGCGCCTGGCTCCGTCTTTGTAGGCCACGAGGTCTCATGAGGCTAAAGCTGAATCTTCAGAGGGAGGGATGGGGGAGGAGTGCAAGGAGTGAGCAGGGGTCAGCAATTTCCCAATGCACCAGGCCTTCCCTTTAGCTTCCCTCCCCATAACCTGCAGCCCCCAACCTGGAGAGATCTGTCCCATTCATCAGACAGTTTGTAACTGTGACATCTTCATGCGATGCCTGAGAGGCAACACACTCACGTTCATCCACTGAATACATCTCTCCTAAGCAGAAACAGTCTCCCACATTGTACTCTCTCTGTGGTCCTGCTGCATCGAAACAAACCCACAGGGACCTTCCTTTCACATCAAAGACATCTTTAATCTGAGCACTTGGGAGGTGGAGGCAGGCCATCTCTCTGGAGTTCACATCCATCGTGGTCGGCACAGGGAATTCTGTGCCAAGCAAAGCTACATAGGGAGAGACTATCCAACCCACCCCTCAAAATGAAAAAAAAAAAAAAAACCAAATAAACAAACACCCACCCTGACATACCTAATAAAACTAAAGGAATCCACAGCAGCAAATACAGGGGTTTTCTTGTATGTTTTTGGGACAAAGTTTGACTCTGTAGTCCAGGCTGACCTGAAATCTGCAGAGATCCAACTGCCTCTGCCTGCAGAGGGTTTTGTTTTTTTTTTTTTTTTTTTTTTTTTTTTTTTTTTTTTTTTTTTTT